AGAGGGGGCAGAAGATATTATTTTTTCCTGTTACACATTTAAAATTTTTCTCTTATCTTGATACGCAAAGATTAAGGACTTTTAGAGCTTGATATTCTTATATAAGATTATGTATTAATAACAAATAATACATGCTACAGTTGTTTATGTAACATCATTTTATTATTAAATACATGTAACTTAAAGTTTACTTCTCAACTTCTCTACGTATTTATGAGTGATAATCAGACATTTATTTTAATGTTAATAAAAGAAATACGGCTAAGAGAGAAAGAGAGAGAGAGAGAGAGAGAGAGAGAGAGTTCGCTGAATTTCAGCCTCTAACTAAACTAGCCTCTAATTTATGGGAAATTCAGTTCAAATTTTTATCAAGCAAATCTGACTGGCCAAATCTAAGTAATGGCGATGTCTTTATTCAAAATAATTCAAATACGTGCACGTGTTCTTCGCATCATGAGATTTACGTTCTGGGCATCCTGAAAGAGACTCGTCGTTAGCACGAGCGAAACGAAGAGAACGACGTTCCTCATCTTTGCATGCTGTCTACGGTTTTATTAATTCTTTTCTAATTCTTTCGTCTCCTTTCGTACCACGATGACCCTCATTCTTGCAGTTAGGCCTTCTTTTGGAAGATCGCGTCATGCACAAATACGTCCGGTCGTTTTTATAGACAGTAAAATAAGCAGATTTACAGAGCAAGAACCATCAATTTTGATCTCACGTTCCGTCAAAAGTGGCATATCTTGATACGTCTAAATTATCATTCGGTCGATGTAATTAGCGATACTTAGCGCAAATAGCGACACCGAGGGCTCCTATTGTTATAGCCGGATGTTGGACGAATCACAAATATATTATACAAGTGATATTACGGAATTATTAATTCACCGCAAAATCATGCGGGGGAACAAATCCTGAAAGGAAGAAAGCCGAAAATACAGAAGTTCCTAGACGTCGTGAGTCTTCACCATGCATGGAAGTAAATCGTTTAATTGTAAATTTATTTACATATTTATCAATTATGCTATAAACAACCGACGAATTTGCAGGTCCAAGTGAAAATAGAAAATGTTAAAAGATTTAAAAATATTTAAAAAGTATTGCCTTCTTTTTAACTCAAAATATATGTTCATCGTCTAAGTTTACGCAATTATTAATTAAGCGAGAATTGGTGGTTTATCAACTTGGGAAATTTAATTTGAAAGATTATTTGTATCATGTTTTGGCAAAAATGTTTGTTAAGACATGACCGTTCAAACTTAAATAAAAATAAAAATAAAAGATTTAAAAAAAATTTTTTAATATTAAGAAATATCTAAGTTTAACTCAAAATATAAAAATCGTTTAAATTTAAGATGTTTTGCTATGTTACGCAACCAATTCTTCAATTTCATTTTTATAAAATTCTAAAAATTTCAGAATTCTACCGATTAATACACGCATAGTTATTTCTAGGATTACTGACGATTCCATCAGCTTTAAAATTTTAATCAAACAGTATTACGCGCCTTGTTTCGGCGAAGATGTGACGGACGCGCATATGGTGCGGCCCTCGTTGAGACACTACCGCGCTTGAGAGTTGACAATAACTTAATTTACGTAACTATCTATCTACGTAATTATCTTACGTAACAATTTCATTAATTTGTCTAATAATTAATGTAATAATTAATGTAATAATTAATTAATGTAAAAAATTAATGTAATAATTTGTGTAATAATTAATAACTGTCCCTTATACTCGGTACAAATCCTATCGCTGATATACAATCTGAGAGGCATTGTGATTCATCAAGCGTTTCTTTTGAATACTTTGCATTTATTGCAGCATTTGAAGGGAGAGAGAAGGGAAGTTTCCGGAAGCTGCGTGTATTTGTACAAGCCTCCTCGTTATCCTTCACAAAATGTTCCTTCACAGAATGTTTCTTTTGAAAAATATAAATATTTTTACTTAAATATCATAAATTTGGAAAATTATTATAGTTAAAAAGGGGAAAAGCCAGGCTTAAAATTAGCTGATTATCTTATTAAAATTAGCTGAATTTTTAGACATCCCACAATTTTGTGTTAATATTTCCTATCTTAATAAATCTAAACAAAACTATATTAAGCCACTTCATTCAAATGAATTATTAAATTTAATAAATAACTGAATAAATATAATAAATATACTTTAATATTGGGTGAGTGCAAAAGTTCGTGCGGAGTTTGTGAGTAAAAGTCACACAGTGATTAGGCAAACAAAAATCTTTATTCAATCAATGATATATTCTCCATCGTTTTCTATAATCTTTTCCCAACGTTCTGGCAGCATACGGATGCTTCGATCATAAAAACTGCGCGGTTTAGATTCGAAGAACGAAGAGACGCCGTTTTTTAAAGCCTCCAAAGAGTCAAAGTTTTTTCCATTTAAATAATTTTGCAATGACCGGAACAAGTGATAGTCAGATGGTGCGATATCAGGAGAATACGGTGGATGCGTTAAGACATCCCATTTCAGGCTCTTCAGTTTGCGCAGCGTCTTTTTCGAAACGTGTGGTCTGGCGTTGTCGTGATGAAAGACGACTCCCTTGCGATTTGACGAAATCGGACGTTTCTCTTTTATTTCTCGATTCAGATTGGTTAATTGGCGACAGTACTTGTCCGAATCAATCGTTTCGCTAGCGGGGAGAAGCTCGAAATAGATTATGCCCTTGCAATCCTACCAAACAGAGAGCATCACCTTCATCGGGTGCAAACTGGCCTTTGGCATTGCGTCACCATGCTCACCTGATTGTTTCCATGTCCGTTTGCGCTGAACATTGTTGTAGAGGACCCATTTCTCATCGCCCGTCACTAGTCGATCCAAAAACGACTCGTTATTGAGCCGCCTGAGTAAAGAAACGGCTGCAGAAATTCGCTTGATTTTGTTCTTCTCGGTCAGCAAATGGGGCACCCATATATCGAGCTTCAAATCGAATCCCATCTTTTTTAAACGCCGAAAAGCGGTTGATCGGTCAACGTTTAGTGCTGTAGCAACTTCTTCTGTTGAAATTCGCAGATTATTGAGCACTAAAGTACGCAAAACATCGTCATCAATGTCAGAAGGTCGACCAGAGAAATTTAGCAAACCATTTTTCCACAGTTCGTTTAGCTGGTGCTCATCCTGATAAACATCCTGAATGTTTTTTACGGCTGCGGCAACGTTTATTCCCTTCCGAAACTCGTAAAGCATAACATGCCGTAAATGCACCTTATCGATACTCATTTTTAAAGTGATATTTCTCGAAGCAGTTTGTATGAAAACAAATGATTTTTTTTTTAATAACAGCTGAAGACGTCACCTTTCCAACGTTATATAATATGTAGATGGAAGTATTAATGACAACACTTTACGACGCTTATAACTCCATCTATTGAAACTCCGCACGAACTTTTGCACTCATCCAATAACATGTTCTTTTCTTTGTTACAGTTTTAATTTCATTAATTAGCAGATTTATCGTAAGTTTTATTTATAAAGCGAAAGAAATTGAATACATTAAGGATTCTCGTGTAACCGGTTCAAAAAATCGATTTTTTTTTATGTAAATCTATAATTATCTATTTGGAGAATATATTCCCAAAGTTTTAAATCAGTATCTTGTCTCTAATCGGAGTTATAAAGAAGTTTAGAGCTACGCGTCGAGCAGCTAGTTGAAAACGTGAGAGCGGGTCGGTCGGTTTCCAATATTATTCGCCTCGGAACACATTAAACTTTAGGTAAACCGAACTATCTCGAGTAAATATTTTTGTTTATAGTTTAAATTTCAAGTATGACTCATTTATAGTTTAGATAGAAGCAGTATTTCAGCGGTAGTAAGAGCATATGTACATTGCCTTGTTCAGTCGTGCTTTAGATTTTAATCCGTGTAGAAGTGCTCCGAAAGTTTTTGCACACGAATAAAAATGAACCAGTTACGAAAAGAAAGCAGAGGAGATCAGCGTCTTTATTCACATCTGTTAAAACGAAAATTCAGAGACAATCAGTATACGAAAAAAGATGATGCTTCAGTAGGCTTCGCCTACTGAAAAACTTATACTGAAAATCTATATATGAAGATTTGTCGAAATCTGTTGGGAGAGCATACGTAAACGAGAGTTTTAACTCAATCGTTTGGCGCTTAGCCCCCAAACACTTGCACTCAGGCATAAAAACCGTTGAAATCGCGGCTTATATTGCCGCGGGCTTATTCAACAAGGGCTATTTTGCCATTCTAAAGTTGATGGATGTCCTAGAAATAAAAATTGGACCACAATGTAAAAAATACGCCGATTCATACGATGCCGCGCAAATCAAGCGCTCAGAGTGAGCCAGCCTCAGCAGCAGCAAAGAAGCTCGTGCAGCTCTTAGATTGCAGCAAATCGAACAGCAGTTTTTCGAGGAATCGGAAGGCTTATTATACGGCCTTGAAATTGTTGATTAGCTCAAAGTAACTGTAAGTATTTAAACACTAATATTTTTCTCGAACGAAAACTTTAAACGCGTTTTTCTCAGAACGACGTTTTTTAAACTGGTGGAATAGGTAGCTCAAAAACTACTTAACTTATCATGTTCACCCGACGTATGCTTATAACAAAATGTTTTTTTCAGCGACTCTGTACCTGTCATAACAATATTTTTAATTTAACTTTTAATAACTTTTATAGCTTAATCAAAGTGGATTTTTATGAAAAAAATCGTACTTTATTTCTGTATGCCACAATTTTGTCAATTTCAACTTTCTTTACATCATATTAGGTACAGTCGCTATATTTTGATGTAAAATGAACAAATCTTTTTGGCTTGTTTCAGGCTACTATAGCCGGAGCTAGACGTTTCACCGTTTGATGCCTGCATTGCTCAAATGGTTGGAAGCACACTTCTATATTTATATATATATGTATATAATATTTGGCATTACAAAAATTTTTTTTACTTTTTCAAACATCTATTTCATCGTATAAAAAGGTGCAAGTAATTTCAATAAATAGTTTCTGAATAAAAAATCTTTAAAAATCACCTTTATTTTAGCCATTTACACAAGAAGCCCCCTTAACAGTTAGTGTATACATTGTGCATATCATGTCGTTTTAATTCGGAAAACTATTTGGGAACAATAATATCTTCTTTAGATGATTATCTCTTTAGGATATAGAATTCGTTCAGTATTATTAAATGAATCTTTAATTTAAACACATTTTTTTAATTAGTTTAATATAATTTAATAAAGAAACGATATATAATGGAAATTGGTAATTTTAAATTAGCTCAATATAATTCAATAAAGAAACAATGTACATAAAATAACATTGAAAGTTCTCGATAAAAAACGTAAAGAACATATTTTGTATAACATATCCTGAAGAGAATTTGCGATATGTTTTTAATTTATTTTGTCGAGGAGATCCAAAGTGTCCGCACTACACATAATTATTTTCAACGTTTGCTCCTTACCGGTATTTCCACTCTGCAGCCCTTTAATTAGAAGAATATTCGATAATATCGATAATTATTATTCAATACGCCAATAGAATCGATTACCTTCGTCGTAACATTTATTGAATTTTGTTGTTGCCTGTAGCAATCTGTTCGTGTCGGAGATACCATCTTTATATGCATTCAACATTTCTCGTTGGATCATTTCGCCTTTGGAGTTAAGCAACTGGAATATATTGGATTATTTTGTATGTCTAATTATTTTGTATGCCTGACTGTATTATGTAAAATAACATCTTTTCTTATATATGTGAATGAACCATATTACATACTTTTTATTAAGAAAATGATTATTGTCTACTTTCTTAATATGATATTCGTTTAATATCGATAAATAATTCCTTACATATTTCAATCTTTTTTTAAATTAGCTCAACATATAATTCAACAATAAAAAACAAATAATGTAAAGAGAATAAACAATAAACAATAAAAATAGGGTGTTTTTTAAAGTCAATTTCACATAATATTATTCGTTTCTTTATATAATTATAAGCTTTTTAATAATATTGTCATGGGACGATTACTTTAAATGCAATTTGCAAGACGTAAAAAGAACGTGAAACAAATTATCCTTATAAATTCAAAAGATTGCATAATCATTAATCGACTAAGTAATCTTAATATGATGCGTAACTATTCGAATATTTCAAATGTACATATATGTACAAGCATTGTTAATTTAATTGTTTTAAGAAATAGGAAGATGTTATATTGGAAAAAAGCTTCATTTTAATAACTATGACAGCTTCATATTAATTTCCAGAAAAAATGTGCACCGAATTATGAAATCCTATTAACCCAATGGATGTTAAGTTTATTCTGCAAGTTAATATGTATTTAATACAAATATATGTACCTGACCGTCTCTTTCCACTGCGCAGTAGAGATTTTCAACGATGTGTTCAGCTGTAATGATAGCAAATTCAGCAAACATGATAGATTATTAATAATATAGTATAGAGTTGTGTCTTCGATATACAAAAGAGACATTCTGATCTCATGCTAGTTTCTCGTAATTGTTCCATTATTAAATTCCATTATTGAATCATCATTACAACAAAGGTTTATTTCATTTTTCGTTTCATAATTCTTTAAATATTTTAAATTTAGATACTTACATATCGGCTCGCCAAACACTTCGTTGCATTTTGCAAGGTTTTGGTGAAACTTTCGCAAACGTTCGATGTTGAAACCATTCGTCTAACAGGATTAATGAGACCAAAACAAATAAAAATAAAAGATTTTTTAGCTTAAAGTTTAATTTTAAAAAGAGATGTAACACAACTGAAAGCATTATCGACAGAGCACTGACTTATTTCTGCGAACTTTATGCCATATTGTTGGCACAGTATCAAGAATGCTTTTGCATAATGAAAGTACGTACTAAAATGACATGAAAAATTGTTCAGAACGAAACAATAAATATTTTCATGATAGATATTTCGAATTGTCAGTTAATGTATATATTTGCTTGACACCATAGTCCTATAGCATACTGAACGTCTCGTCTTGTTATATAAGTTATTTAAATTCTCACTTACACTCACTATACAAGGAACATTCGCGAAGTGTGTGTCTCCGATTTCGACGAGACTTGGCATATTTGTAGAATAACCAAAAATAAGGGTCACATATTTTTGTATCGGCAATGGCTCAAGTTTAAGGGGTAAAACTACCTCTCAAAGTTTCATTCCCTTTATGCTATCCTGATAATTACTGCAGATAGGAAAAATGTTTTAAATTGTACAGCACAAAAAATAATACAGTTTGTGTTCAAAAAGTTTTGTCCTATCTGCAATAATTATCGAGATAGCATAAAAGGGAAGAAACTTTGAGGGGCAGTTTCACCCATTAAGCTTAAACCATTGCCGATAAAAAAAAATATGAGTTTTTTATTTGTGACTACTTTATAAATATACAGAGTTTCGTTGAAATCGAAGACGCACACTTCACGCATTCCTTGTTAGACATGTATGTCTATAAATAAGATTTTAGCTTAATTTACAATATATATCTAAATTGATAAGAAGTCTGATTTCCAAATCGGAATGCTTGGAGCAAGATATAACATTAACACTAGATCTGGTACCTTGCTTTCTGACTATTGCTATAAAAATGTCAAAAGTAACATGCAAATCACAAAAGGCATGCGGCAAAAGATAAGCCAAGTGGTTATTGGAGTAAGAAGTAATAATGAGACACCGAAATATTGCGAATATAAATATGTGAATCACAAATATGCTTTATTGCTTGACACTTACCATAACGGCCAGTACACCCATAATAATCAACAAAATCTTCATTCTAAGTTCTGCAAGTATATTTAAAACTCTTGGTCTCAAATAAGACTGTCTTGCATCGAATGTGCAACCGCGTATTTATAAGCGATTAATGGGAATGCACATATGCTTTATATAATACGGAACTTGTTGCATATTCGATTTGCATATTCGAACCGATCTCTGAGAGTCACCGTCTACCGTCTCTCCTCCCGCTTTTGACGTCTTAGCAATGATAATTAACACGCAGCACTCTGTCTCGGATATGATCTATAACGCGACATGGTTTTTATATCATTAATGTGTAAATTGATATTTATTGGAATATGCACGTGCAGACGATAATTAAGTTGAGAAGTCAATGAAAAAAGCATGCGTATAATTTAATGATTAAATAATAATTTAATAATTTAGCAGAGAATTTAACTTAGTATCTTTTTCTTGCAAAATTTTGACAAGTAATACATTGAAGAAAGAAAACTTTAAATCGGTATTAACTGAATTTTGTCATTTTGTTTATACAAAATTATTATCATTACATTACATTACATTATCATTATATTAAAAATTTTAAGGAGGCCCTCATGAATATTTGTTGATTTGCTGATTTGCTGCCGTTTAACGAAAAACAATGCTTATTTAGTTGGCGTTAATGCCGAATATAGGAACATCCAGTATGTACATCGAAGGAAGATTGTAAAGTCAAAATTATGATTAATAATAATTTTTTATTAAACATAATAAACAAAATCAATCATCGATGAACATTGCGTTTAAACATGGCATGAAAAGGAAATTATGATACAAAACCCATAAAAGTAATACGTGCTCCCATGCGTAATAAACATTTAATTATTTATGTTAATATATATTTATCAAGCGATCGAATTCGAGCCAATGTATCGTCGCTTGTATATTTTTATTTTATTGTTTAATTTTATTGTTTGATATATCTTGATCTGTCTCTTTGAAAGTATCATTATAAATAAAAAGCGAAATGGAATATTGTTATGTATATATTTACTTATGCGATGTATTTAATTATTATGCGATATAATATTATGCGATGTATTTAAGTATAAATCCAAATGATTTTATTAAAGCATATTCCAAAATACTATATATCATACTTATATTCCTTTTGATAGGCCATAATACTTCGATTCCATCAAAAATAAATACTCCACAAGTTCCTTTTCTAGATTTTCAGGAAGTATTGGCCTTCTTCCTAGCTTCTTCATAACAACGTCTTCGGGTGACAATTGTGTTTCTTGAACCAGTCTATGCAATATCGTTTTCGGAATCTTTTAACTACTTTCTTAAGCCCCATCTTTTTTTCTCTGATTAAAGTAACAGCCTCTTATATTTTAGCCTTATCCCAAGCCTGTCTTTTCTTTGGTGGTGTTGGGTCTATAGTTTTCCGTGGCAATAGTGGCACCTATAGACGCATATAACCAAATTTTTTAAAACGTGTATGTAATATGGAACCTGGGTCCATATTAAAAGCATCTTCTGAGCCCATAATGCAAACATCATCATCTTTAAAAACAATACTGGTTGCAGCAAAACAAAGAGGACTAAATATTATAAAATACGTAGGAAACTTAGATTACACTCTATACTTAAAGTGTCTGGCTTTAAAAGTTATCTATTAATCATAAATAGTTTTAAATAAACATAGTTTTATATACCTTTCAAACATTCGGAAATTAACGAAAGAGAAATATGCTTACTATTCGATCACGATAACAGAACTAGTGAATCTAGCGCTTTAACGGCCCAAAGGGTAACCTAATAAACAAGTTTCAGCTGTCGCCCATAGAGTGCAGCTCAAAAAATTTCAGATATTGAGGGGTTCCATAATATCAGCAGGGTTCCATATTATCACTTTCTCCTCTATTTATTTGTCTATAAGGAGAATATATTATTTCATATTATATATTTCACATTTTCAGATTGCAGGGTTCGATATGTCATTCTGCCTGTTTGTCTTCACCGCAGCAACCTGAAAACATAAAATATGCAATGTGAAATAACATATTCTTGTTTGGGCAAGAATATATATAAAAGAAATCTTTTAGATGGTGTATTTATGTGGTGGTTGGATGTGACCTATCGATTCTGTTTCTGCTTAATAATAAATATGATCCAACGCTGCAATTAGAAAATGTGAAATATACAGTACGAAATAATATATTCTCGTTAGGGGCAAATAAATACATATAAATACATATAATAATAAAAGATATATTTTATAGTATTATATGTTACCTGATAGTGAATATGTTGTGCTTCTGCTCAATAGTAATGTCCCAACGCAGCTATGTGTAAATATTAAATCAAATGCAGTTGCCTGTAAATGTCAAACATACAATATGACGTAATATATTATTGTTTTATTTACAAGAATACGTATAATAATGAAACATAAAATAAAAGAATAAATTTCATTCATAGATCAACAATCAATAACCAACCTACTTACCTGTTCTAATGTGCAGTAAAATTCCGTCACATATATTATGCATATCTTGATTTCCTCTCTTTCTTCCTCGTTTTCTCGTTCGGCTTTTCTTATAAGCTAATCAGCGATCACCACTTTTTCTGGTAGCATTCAAATATCACTACATATGTCAAACACACTCGTATACAACTTTCGAATTATAGCGCTTCTGACAATGAGCGAACTCGTTCGTGGCGCTTCTGACGATGGGTTCGTAACGCCTCTAACAGAAGAAATGTGAGATGGACATTTTCGATGGGATATTTTTAATAATGCTAGCGATAGCGAACGTGAAATCTTCGTAAATTGAACTTTGGACTAGAGTATTTCGATTCACAGGATACGTAAAGCAAAAATAAATACAGTTTTATTAACTAATTTAGACCCAAAGAATCGATTCAGACCACTCAGAACTGCATCGGTTTAGTGATTATAGCGGAACTCTAAATTGTGCCCCCCTCCAACTAGTTGGTTCGCGTGTATACCAGGTATGTCGGTAATTTCTTTCCGGTTTTTTCGCTAAAGAAAACACGTTATTTACAATGGATAGTTAAAATATATTTATTCAAAGTATTGGCCATTTGATTCTATACATTTTGCCCATCTCTCAGGCAATTTATGGATGCCATTCCAAAAGAACTGTTTCTCCTTTGAGCTAAACCATTCATCGAGCCATTTTTTAACTTCTTCGAAATCGGCGAAGTACTGCTCTGTAAGCACGTACCCTATTGATGCGAAAAGGTGGTAGTCGGATGGAGCCAGGTCTAGAGAGTACGGCGGGTGCGATAAAACTTCCCATTCAAGTGATTTCAATACTTCTTTGACTGGTTTTGCTGTATGAGACGGCGCGTTGTCATGCTGCAAAATCACCTTATCATGTCTTTGAGCGTATTGTGGACGTTTTTCGATCAATGCACAGTTCAAATTGATCATTTGTTGTTGGTAGCGATCAGTATTAACTGTTTCTCCAGGTTTCAACAGTTCATAATATACGACACCAACCTGGTCCCACCAGACACAGAGCATGGTCTTGCGACCAAAGCGATTTGGCCTTGCAGTCGATGGGCCGCCTTCGCCAGGTGATAACCATGATTTTTTTCGCTTGAGATTTTCGAAATAAATCCATTTTTCACTACCCGTTACTATTCGATGCAGAAATGACTTCCTTTCATACTTTTGAAGCAGCATTTCACTGACGATTTTTCGATTTTCCAATTGCCTGTCATTCAATTCATGTGGCACCCATCTTCCCATCTTTTGGATCTTTCCCATCGCTTGTAATCGTTCACAAATTGCTACTCGGCTCACATTCAACTTTTCTGCCAATTGTTTTTGAGTTTGTGTTGGGTCTTCATCCAATAACTCCTGCAATTCCGCATCGTCAAACGTTTTCGGCCTACTAGGACGTTTTTTGTCTTGAACGTTGAAATTACCACATTTGAATTGTCGAAACCACGTTTCACATGTTCTTATGGTTGGAGCATGCTCACCGTAAGTCTCTACCAGCAAACGATGACTTTCAGCGGCTTTTTTCTTTTGATTTGACAAGAAAAGTAATGCGTGCCGCAAATGCACGTTTTCAGGCACAAAACTCGATTTTCAAAAAATTATTAATCTATAACGCTGTTATTTTGGCGGAATGTAACTTGTGTAGTTTTGAGGTTAATGTCAGTAGAATAAAATGACATATGTATCAAATCATAACATTGCATACTTATGGCTAGTGACATCTGTTACAAAAACCGGAAAGTAATTACCGACATATCTGGTATATCACGGTAGTCAACACGGCAGCTCAGGAGCGTATATGGCAAAAAACGTACCTTGGCGCAAACCACCGTGGTTTTTGGTAACTATGAGATTGTTTTACGGTCTATGAGCAATATTTTTGTATTTTTGTATTGGACCAATTAACACTCTCGCTCAAATTTCATTCGTGATTTCTCATAATGTACTACTATTATACGCTTAAAAACGAACTGCTGCACTCTTATATTGACTTTTATTATTTTAAACATATTGCATAATATCAAAACATAGATATTATAGAAGAAAAATAGAAGAATAAAAGTAAATTTGACCTTTACGTCGCGAATTATATCTTTAATTTTAATTATTTTCAATATACAATATAATATGTTTATTTAATTATCGATATATTACAAATTATTACTAACGACGGTAGATTTTACCAGTTTGGACGAGAAATATGTATATCCCAGAAAGAAATCTTTCTACAACATTTTCCACATTCGCACATTATCGTCGCACATTTATATGCGATTCTAAAGCGATAAGTTGTTTATGTAAGTCTCTACATTTATGCGAATTCCGCATGATTATTTCTCCAAACGTTCGTCTCTTACACAACCTTCTCATTAACTCAGCATATTTCAAGTGCGACATTTCGCGCAAAAACATATTGTAACCTTACCTTATTCATATCATCTTATTTCCAGGAAACCAACAATTAATCATTGCACTAACACCTGTGCAGTCGATATATTTCTAGATAATTACGCTGCGTTTTGCATACCAAGTAATATCTTTATTCGTTATTTATTGACTGCATTGAATCTATCCGATCTAACTGGTCTATTAATTTATATTAATTTATATTTCAACATCTAAAGGCTGTTCTAATAATTATGGAAGGAGAGAAAAGAAAAATTAATGGATTCTTTATACCATAAATGCCGCGAAGCGAAGCGTTATGTAAAATATCAAAATATTCGAAACTAGCTTGGAAGATATATTATTGACACTTCAATTTCATTATGTTCTTTTAACATTAGAACTACCAAAATAACTGATATTTAGTTTCTTATAAAAATTGTCCTCACTTATAATGGTGCATTTCATATCTTTAATTAATATTGAAAAAATTGTACGAGTAGATATTTTCCACTTTCGTCAAATATTAAAAAAAAATTTGTTATTTTTTTTAACCGCTCTGGTAGAAGTAGGTTATTAAAATAGTCGGTAGATATAATGTTAAAAAGTAATGTGAAAACACAGGAGTTATGTGTGATGGATATATAGGGTATTTGAAAGCTTATCATACAGATGAAAGTTGGAGATAGATTGAATGTAGCTGAGAAGGAAAGTCATGTACCATAATGTCAAATTGGCAATAGTTATCGAGTTATTAATTGAAACACGTGAGCCAATGAGCGCGTAGAGAGCGCTGGGCGGCTGCGGTAAGCATGTAGACATTTGGTATAGGCGAAGTCAACGAGCGTCGATAGGCAAGCGCGCGCGACGAGAGGCAACCGTAAGTAACAATAGGCGAGCGCGCACGACGAGGAGCGAGCGAGCGCGAACGACGAGCGAGCGAGCGCAAGCGACAAGAGGATAAGCTTTCAAATACCCTGTATATGTATATACATGTACATATATATTTACATACATACACACATACATACATACATACATACATATATACATATATACATACATACATATATATATATATATATGTGTGTATACACACACACACACACACACACATATATCATATATAAATCTCGTTATAATTTTTCGTTGCTAAAGTACAATGCTGAATAACTGCGAGTTTTTATGTTGCTTCGTTCGATCGAATAAGCTGATTGTTTCCGCGTTGACGATAAATGAATAATCATTTCGGCCTTCCAGATGCGCCGAAGGATCCACAAAGAGAGATGTCTTCACGGATAGAACATGAGCTGCAAAAGCAACGCTTGTTTGAAAGCTCTCGCTTGTAACGCATACGGAAAAAATGGTCATAAAATGCGCGAGATGATTCAATCGATATTTGCATATACACGCGTGTCTTACCGAGGCATCGTAGTCGTAAAAACATTTAGTTACTTCATACGCCAATTGACATCCTTCCAATGACTGCTCAGCTGTGAGAGAGAACGAAATGCAACCTTTTTGCTATTACATGTCACTATAATGACTTCATGTTAGGTGATTGTTTCATGGATATGCGTTGGCTCGTATAGAGTATAGCAGAATTTAAAAAGTGGAACAATTTTGCGAGGAATCATATTGTCAAAATTCGAATACCGAGACAATCTCCTGACATGCAACTTTCCCCAAATATTGGAAATGTGTAATTGTCAAAATGATTGTGCAAAGTTAAAACACTGAAATCAATCCAACAAGATAATAGTTGAAAAATTATTATTATTATTATTATTCTTTTGAAAAAGATGCACTTTAGGAGAACGTTTCCGGTGTCTGAATTTCGGATATTCTGGGGATTGTGTTACTTTCTGAATTTCCAGATTTCTCGGAACAATGCATGTTGAGCAGTGATCCACTGAATGTTTATTTAAGATAAATCGTCATATCGTCATGTTTTAATTTTGCACAGATGCTTTATCAAAAATCAAACTGTAAAAATAAATTTCACTCACCAACTGGCCCGCAGTGTTCTATTGCTTTCAAAACTGGTTCCACGTACTTTTCTTCCAACATAATCTGCACGGTCCTAGTAAACGATTGTCGCTGTACCTTATCGTCCTTCGACATCTACGATGAATAAATCAAGGAGTAATAGGAAGACAATCTTCCGCTTATTGAATTAAAACAACGCGAGGTTATCGTCCAAAAAATTATTCGTTCAAGACCTCGATGTAATCGAATGTGATGCGAGATTACGACGCTTAAACGAGATTAGAAGTATTCCAATCAATCACGTGATAAGAATCACTCATCTGAACGTGAATAACATCTGAGACGTGAATTCGTCTCATTTTCGCGCTTTTTCATTGTTGTCTTAAAAATAAACGTAGGTACGCGTCTTAATTCGACTCGCGCGACATACACCTTTCACGAAATTTCTAGTATTTTTGTTAGCCCTGTGAAGATTTTACTCACTGTTTTCGTCATCACCATCATGCACTTAAAGTAGCATTGCAGCTTCCGGTCGGGTACGAAGTTACCTTTATTCGCTTCGTCGACCATTTCTAGGTTGGAATGAAACATTAGAGGCTTATCGCCTTATTCTCATTCAGACGAGGTTTACTAACATTTAATTGTTCTCACTTGGAAATTACGATTCGACGTTCTCATCAGTGAATTAGTACCTTACCCGAATACCACGAACGAAATATAACTAATAAAATAATATTTTAGATAAGATAGAATAAAATAATAATTTTAGTCAAGAGTGTGACAGAGAATGAGTATTGTTCTGTTAATATTAAATTTGAAATTCATTTTGAATTTTAAGGAGATTCCTGTTGAAAAATATTACCGACAAAATATTGACTATTTTCCAGAAAATTCATGTTGTTTCCATTGCACGGAGTTGCAAATGTTTTTATACAATAAAAGTAAGTACGAAAATCAATTGAAGCATTGTTTAATACGTGACTTTAGTATCCTCGTAAATATCCAATTTTGCAGTCAATGGAATGTTGAACGCTCGTTATATTTAAATTTGGATTGGACGTTAATAATATGATCAAAAATTTTGGTAAGACTTCTCTTGCGACATTGTCACGCGAAATTCCGGACAAATTGACCCATGTGCGAGATTTGTTACGTACTCGAATCGATGCTCACTCTCTCCATACAGATTTTCCTCACCGGCAGTAGAGTCTCTTTGATCTCTCCAAAAGTCAATCTTTTCTGCGAAAGAAGGAACGTCAAATCACGCCATTTATCACTGATATATCGCTTGTGTTAATGTCAAGAGTAAAGCCAAAACAGAGACTTGAATTCAAAGCTAAGTTCAAGACAAATTGTCATTTCGAGAAATATATTTGTTAGATGCTTTCATTTACCGAATTTATCGAATCAATAATAATTTCAGCGGTTTGAAATCTGAGCAGTTTTGCGGACGTAGAACCGGAGAATTATTTGAAACTTGTGAACAATGGTGGCAGATACTTTGATTGAATATGATATCTAATATTTCGTTATTTTAAAATATTGAAAAATGAGCCTTAAAATGTAGAGAAAGAGGGGGCAGAAAGTATTACTTTTTTCTTTTACATATTTAAAATTTTTCTCTTATCTTATTATGCAAAAATTAACAGCTTTTAGAGCTTGATATTCTTATATAAGATTATGTATTAATAACAAATAATATATGCCATAGTTGTTTATGTAACATCATTTTATTATTAAATACATGTAATTTAAACTCTTCTTCTAAACTCTTCTTCTAAACTTCTCTACGTATTTATGAGTGGTAATCAGATATTTATTTTAATGTTAATAAAAGAAATACGGTTAAGAGAGAGAGAGAGAGAGAGAGGGAGAGAGAGAGAGAGAGAGAGACAGAGAGAGAGAGAGAGAGAGAGAGAGAGTTGAATTTTAGTCTCTAACTAAACTAGCCTTTAATTTATGGAAAATTCAGTTCAAATTTTTATCAAGCAAATCTGACTCGCTAAATCTAAGTAATGACGATGCCTTTATTCAAAATCATTCAAGTACGTGCAGGTGTCCTCCTTCTTACGAGACTTACGCTCTGGGCATTTTGAAAGAGAGTCGTCACTAGCACGAGCGAAACGAAGAGAACGACGTTCTTCATCTTTACGCACTGTCCACGGTTTTATTAATCCTTTTCCAATCCTTTCGTCTCCTTTTATGTCACGATAATCCCCGTTCTTGCAGTTGGGCCTTCTTTTGGAAGATCGCGTCATGCACAAATACGTCCGGTCGCTTTTATAGACAGTAAAGTAAGCAGATTTACAGAAGGAGAACCGTCAATTTTGGTCTCACTTTCTGTCAGAAGTGGTACGCCTTGATACGTTTAAATTATCGTTCGGCCGACGTAATTAGCGATACTTAGCACAAATAGCGACACCGAAGGCTCCTATTGTTGTTATGGCCGGATGTTGGACGAATCACAAATATATTATGCAAGTGATATTACGGAATTATTAATTCACCGCAAAATCATGCGGGGAACAAATCTTGAAAGGAAGAAAGCCGAAAATACAGAAGTTCCTAGACGTCGTGAGTCTTCACCATGGGAGTAAATCGTTTAATTGTAAATTATTTACATATTTATCAATTATGCTATAAACAACCGACGAATTTGCAGGTCCAAGTGAAAATAGAAAATGTTAAAAGATTTAAAAATATTTAAAAAGTATTGCCTTCTTTTTAACTCAAAATATATGTTCATCATCTAAGTTTACGCAATTATTAATTAAGCGAGAATTGGTGGTTTATCAACTTGGGAAATTTAATTTGAAAGATTATTTGTATCATGTTTTGGCAAAAAATGTTTGTTAAGGCACGACCGTCCGAACTTAAATAAAAATAAAAAATATTAAAAAATTTTTTAATTATTAAGAAATATCTAAGTTTAACTCAAAATATAAAAATCGTTTAAATTTAAGATGTTTTGCTATGTTACGCAACCAATTCTTCAATTTCATTTTTATAAAATTCTAAAAATTTCAGAATTCTACCGATTAGTGCACGCATAGTTATTTCTAGGATTACTGACGATTCCATCAGCTTTAAAATTTTAATCAAACAGTATTACGCGCCTTGTTTCGGCGAAGATGTGACAGACGTGCATATGGTGCGGCTCTCGTTGAGACACTACCGCGCTCGAGAGTTGACAATAACTTAATTTATCTTACGTAACAATTTCATTAATTTGTCTTTAATAATTAATAACTGTCCCTTACATTCGGCACAAATCCTATCGCTGATATACAATCTGAGAGGCATTGTGATTCATCGAGCGTTTCTTTTGAATACTTTGCGTTTATTAAAGCGTTTAGAGGGAGAGAGAAAGGAAGTTTCCGGAAGCTGCGTATATTTATACAAGCCTCCTCGTTACGTGAAAATTTATAATTCCGAACATGGAGACGTGCGGTGTGTGTGTCACACGTTTGCGATCGTCATACTTGTGTTTGTGATCGCCGTGAGATTTTGCGGCGGGTCCACCGAGCTCGCGCGATGGCGCAACATCTCGCGGCGCGATTCCACGAATTGCACGCGATCGTGTACTTCTACGTTTCATGATGCCGCTAAGAAAGAAATGACCACAACTCTTTATTACATCCATGCTGCGTCTGTGTAATCGTGTTGCAATCGAATAATCATTATGCCTCCGTACGATTGCGCTCAGGGGAAGAAGAAGTGGTCCGGGTCATTATTGTAGCTGCACTTAACGAAGTTGAAGGTCGTTTCGCAATCGTCACCAGTGGGTGCTGTAAATATCAAGCAATTCAGTATTCCGTATGTTTCAAAGCGCGGGCCTTGCATTCTCCGCGTGACCGAGGAAAAACAACATCAACAAGCTCACCGAAAAGTACAATGAAAAAATATGACGAAAATTGCAACGAAACTTTTGTAATCGTGGACCATAAACAAATATGACCGAAACGTATATTTACGTCGTGATGGACTTACGTTCCGCCGCGCAGATTTTTGTGGTCTCCTTCATAAGCACAGCAATATCGGCCGGCATCATCAAGTCCAGCTGCTTAAGCATCATTCCCTCGTCCACACGTCCGTTTTTATACTTGATTGAAACAAAAAAAACGTATATGTTTAACCATGAACAATTATTCTCACCACATTGGCGCTCAAAAGACGTTGTATCTCGCTTACAGTTCGTATTGTCTTCATTATGCAATGCGTGTAACATTTTAACGAGCGGTCGTCCGGGAACTCTCCCTTCTGAATTGCGAGCACCGTATCTATAAAACAGAAAATATAACGAAGTTTAAAGTTTGACATAAGTCGCGTGATGAATTTCAGTGACGGCTATTTTCCCAGAACTTTTCGCAGCACTTCGTCATTCAAATCACTCGTGATTCGAATCGCTTATTCTTAAACAGCAATTTGTCGAATCGAATTTCTCGCTTTTTAATATATTAAAATCCAACGAGAGAATTTTTATTACAAAACTACAGCATCGAGAAAAAAATGTTCAATATTTGTGATTATAACTGAAAATTGAAATAAATATTTATAATTAAGGAAACTATTTTTATAATAAATATTTCTATAATATTAGTAATAACAATCTTATATGTATATATGTATATTGTTAGTTTTTTGTTAAAATAATAAAAAAAATCAGACGTTCAACCAAAATAGAAAAAGTAAATTAAACTACTGAAACAAATTGACGCTTTAGCGAATGGCTCTTTTGCATGCTTATCTTTTCAACTTTAGTCGGAAAAAGTATTATTGGTGCGGAAAATAATAATAATTCAAATCAAATTATGATATGTTGAATATCATAATGATTTGAATACTACCGCGTCTTGTCAAGTTGCATGTGAGATGTAATGAATTGCATCTATACATAATTAGTTATACAATAAATAATAAGTCGAATATGGAGCGAGGTAAAAGATACTTCTATTTTTGGAATTACGCTTATTAAACGCATCTTTGAGAAACTCAATTGTTAATTATTAACGTGGCCGTTGACGTGTACTAACACAACTTTTTCGATACAAAATCACAGAAATCAGTCAAGTTGTGCATTTGGTCGTGATTTTGTCGACTAATTATTTACTCATTTAGTCGGCTTATATTTTATTTTGTCGTTAAATTTCTCTTTGCCGGGAGATTAAAAATGAGGCGAGCTCGGGTTGGAAAATTCAAGATCTCTCGGTGAAACGCGGATATAGCGCAATGTGGGTTTCAGAACAGTGTAAGGCTAAAGAATAGTGTCTGCGTGGACGTTATGCAAAGTCCGCAAGATACGCTTGGAAGCGGAAATTAAAGCGTAGATCGTTACGATTTCTTGGCGAAGTCGCACGCGCAGCTCCGTATTCGCTTTCATTGCATCGCGACTTCGTTTCAACGCGACGATGATTCTCCATTTTCCACTCAATTTCTTCCCACTTCTCCCCGATTTTACAAGATAAATCGCGGAATATAGCCGACGCTCACCCATATTCGCGTTCACCTTCGACACGCACGTGTTCCGTAGCGTCGCCGCAGTCTTCTCTATCTGTTCCATCGTCATCGCCTAAATCGAAATAAAATTCAATTATTTTAATATATGACTTACATGATATCATTGTTTGTCAAAACATTCAAAAGAATCATCAATTAATAAAATCGCAGAAATGCAACGCATGATGGAAACAATTGCTTATTTATACAATAGAGTCAATTAGTGGACTCGTTCCGAAAGTATGAAATATATCCGGCAAAATATTCGCTTTTCTTTTACTTTATCTCACCATTTTTATTTTTGACGGAGGAGGAAAATTGATAAGCGAAAAATTGAACAAAATTTGATGAAGGAAACAAAACTAGGAAAGCATATATACAGAAAAATTTGTGTACAAAATTCTGCAAAGAAGACATGAAAGACACATGACAGCACTATTCACTATTTCTTTAACAATTCTTTAACGGGATAATGAGTGACTTTTGGAATTGAATAATAATAATTATATAAGGGAGATCAAGTGAGGTTTACCCAAAGTCTATATCGAGGCTATACGCTTCTTGTATATATTTATTGCGAGAGTGACAGTGAAAAGGAGATTGCAGAACGTTCTTTTCAGGATTTAAGAAGAGTACCGATATCTTGGAAGGAACGCTTCGTTTGTACAAGCCGTTATCCCTGCAACTTTGTTTTCCTTGACATAACGACTTGGTAACGGCGTTATTTCTTGCGATCCCTTTTTCACTATTTCTCTCGCGATAAATACACAAATGAAATGCATGGCCAAGATGACTTAACCTGGTTTCATCCGACGAATTACTTTTAAGAAATCAACTCTTTAGCCTTGCCCCTTCGAAGAATGCAACCACGCGTTTCACATTAAAATCATCACAACTGAACCACGACTTACGGCGTTTGCCTGCTGCATCGCGACGAGTGCGATCACGAGCGCGCATATCAGCGTACGGGCGCGCGTTTCACTGGCCATGCTCCTCTCGTTCACGCACAGGGGGTTGTAAAGTGGTGTCTCAATGCCGCTGAATCCCGGAAACGTAAGCGATAAGCCGCGTAAACTAGCTGTCGTTGCATCTTTATATAGACTGACGACTGTCAACGAGTCGTCCACGGCTAATATACGGGACGGCGATCTCGTTGAGAGGCTAATTTCAGAGAATTTGCAAAAATTTGTACTCTCGTGGCATCGTGAGGGCGTAACGCGGTGAGACAAGACACTGGGTGAGGGATGCGGCGGGAAGTGAAGAGGAGAGACGAGTTTCCGCGATTTACATGCGCGATACAAGGAAGGAGCCGATGTTTAACCGCGAACCGGCAATCGACGATTCGCGATTCGCCTAATAATATGAGGCCCCGTATCGAGACTACATATTAGCGTCGGTTGTGACTGCCTTATTCGCAATTTGAGAATATCGTGAGCACTTTCGCACGACCTTCGTGCGGGACGAAGCAGCGCTTGGGATAATAACCGAATTAGATTTGGTATTGCTTCAATTCAAGATTGGGACTTTTCCTTCATGTTTCTATATTTTGTAATTTTATATAATAAATTTATTATATTAATTCAACAACAAATTTGTTAAAAAATACATTCGACTACGGAACGAGATTATCCAAATGTTTTAATCGTTATTTCGACCCTTCTCAATAGGAAAGGAAGAAAAGAGTTTTCTCACAGCATAGACAAAATTCCTTATGTCTCCAAATTAGGACAAGACCCTAAAACGGGTAATGATGACTATAACGAGTTCTTTGTTTCAACGGATGACGAGTAATAATAACTTCTGAAAAAAGTAACTTTTCCAATTCTGGCTTCAGTCAGATTTTCAATTTTATTCGACTCGTCAAACCATCAAACGCAGTCGCGATTCGACTCTACCTTCGCTCTAGTCGGGAACTGTTCGGGCCGAGAAGCCGACCCTTCGGCGGCTGCAGGAGGATCCTCGTGCTAATGTCGAATCCTTGTATCTCACAGAGAGAACGGGACCGTCCGCGTTGCGGACCGACAACCACCCTTTGCAGCCATCCCAGTAGTTCGTCGGCTCGGCCATTAGTCCAAGAGCTTCTTCCCTCCGCGGCAGGTCGATAATTACATTTTTTTCTGCGTACTCCTACCCCTTACCTACGTCGATTCGTTTTTGTCCTGTTGTGTCGTATTCGACACTTTCACTTCGCTGCGATTAATTTCCACGTGCTCGTTACACACTCGTAAACATAATTCGCTTGGAATGTCTGCCTTGTTTCGTCGGTTTGGAATTCCCGAGAATCTTTAAAAGAGATATTAAAAGCTCCTGCTTTTTTTATATCTTCGCGAATTGATGTCTTAATAATTCAAAAATCATAATAGCAGCAACTTAAAAACAAGAGTGTAGCTTTTAGAGTTTCAGAATCATCTAAAAATATTTTTTGAGTTCTTTGTAATAATTAATTAATTATTTCTTTGTAATAATAATTAGTTCTTTGTAATAATTAATTAATGTTTATAAACTAGGCAATTATGTAATCAAATATCTAAGCGCTTATAGGTTATTCAAACTTGTAAATATTATATAACTACACGAAGTAAAAGAAATATTTCTTTATATAAATCAATATGCGTATGAAAGTATTAACATAAGATTGACAAAATGTAAATCTTTTGTTAGATATTTCATATTTTATATTTAATTTTGACATATTTTCATACAAAAACTAAGTCGTAAAATATTTATTTTTTCTTGAACTTGCATTAATATTTTGACATACAAGATGATTTACGTGATAAATAAAAAGAAATAATAATAAGAAATAGTAAGAATAAATAATTGAATATACTTGAGTACTTAAGTAATTTGTAATTTGTATAATTAACCTGGTACCTAGATTGGACATCATTATTATATCTCATCATACAAATTGAAAGAGATATAATAATAACTGAATAACAATTGAGAGAGATGAAATAATAATATCCATGCCTCCGAGAAATTTCAAAAGAGACATCGTGGAAGAAGCTTGAATTTCCAGCTAAGAAAAGGACATTCAACTGCAAGAACATTGGTCTCTCTCTCTCTCTCTCTGTCTCCCCCCCTCTCTCTCTCTCCTCTCCCTCTCTCTCTCTCCTCTCTCTCCTCTCTCTCCCTCTCTCTCTCTCCTCTCTCTCCCTCTCTCTCCCTCCCCCCTCTCTCTCTCCCTCCCCCTCCCCCTCTCCCTCTCCCTCTCCCTCTCCCTCTCCCTCTCCCTCTCCCTCTCCCTCTCTCTCTCCCTCTCCCTCTCTCTCCCTCTCTCTCCCTCTCCCTCTCCCTCTCCCTCTCCCTCTCTCTCCCTCCCTCTCTCTCTTTTTTTCTGACAATGATCGCGTGAAGGGGGGAAGGAGACGAAGAAATGCGAGTAATAAGAAACGGCTAGCAAGGATATTATGAACTGCGTTAAAAAGGTGCGATCCTGTTGAACGAAATGCCATGCAGACATCTCATGAGAACAACGTGACCCTTCCGTGACGGCGCGGCTCAATTATATGCCCTTAATTAGCAGCAATAACGTCGACCATTGTTGTGTGTATTCGCTTGTATGTTTGTGTGTGTGTCTTATTGTGAGACAGTAATTCGTAATTAAAATCCCGCCGATAATATACCGTCAAACTTGCGCAACCGCGAGTGTAGTTGTTTACATAATGCGCGGTACACGCGAGTGTCAAGCGCAGCCCTCTTTCTCGATATCTCTCCCCGATAATGGCGTAGAAGATTTATTAAGCGATCTCCCGTGAACTAACGTAGCAAGGTCATGCTCGACAAAAACAGCATTGAAGAACGAGCCGACCCGAGGGTGTTTCACACGAGCGGCTTTGCTTCCCGAAGAAAGTCGCACGGCGCACACGGTACTCCAACGCGACTGCTCGCGTACCTCCTGCTATTGCCCCTCCTCTTCAAGATGCGGCCACTCGACGTCCTTTCATTAAGCGTATGACCTCGATCGCGAACTTAGTCCGCCGTCATTAAAACAACGTGTGTGTTCGACTGTACTACATAGGGAGAAAGGGACAGACGACAGAAATGATGAAAGAGAGAATGGAGCCGCGTTGACATATTCGAGAAACATATCGGCGGCGAGCGGGCGAATTAATTATAAGTGCGTCGACGCGAACGATCAAAGCGGGACAATAATCGGGCGAAAGTTTCGCAAAGGTATGCCAAATTAATCCTCGCGTGCACAGCTGCCACACCCGGCCCACGTCGGCGTCGGCCTTTTGTGATGCTAATTGGCTTTCAATTAAACTCAGAAACTCGACCCACCATCGGCCGATGGTGGGTATTGTTAGTATCACGGCGATTTCGGGAGATTTCAAGGGATTTTCGATTGCTTACGAAATCTCTCCCTCTTCCTCCCTCCGTTCTCCCGGAATTGCTTTTTTCTTTGTGTACTATTGTGTCGAATTTCCTTTCTCTACAATTTTTCTACAAATGAAAGAAAGAAAATCAGCGGCGTGGTGTAATTCATCGGCGATCGAACGACTGCGCCGTTCCAGGGTTCAAGAAAAAGAGATAAAGAGAGAGAGAGAGAGAGAGAGAGAGAGAGCACAGAATAATATATTTATTATTATTATTATATAATTAAATAATTATACATAAATTGTATTAATTTGTAGATCTTGAGAAAAATGGTCAAAAATTAATTAAAGAAACTTTTATTTTTTATCTAATTAATGAAAATGGTTATGATTAATTTATTTTATTACTTTATATTATATACAATATAAATTATATTTATCATAATAAAATTTTATAAACTGATCACTATGATACTTTTAAATATTGTCATAATTAATTATTTCTTATCTACCTCCCATGAATCTAATTCTATAAACTTTTTTATAAAATATAAATCCCTCTAGCTTGGCTTTTTTGCTCTTCTGTCTCTCTCTCTCTCTCTCTCTCTCTCTCTCTCTCTCTCTCTCTCTCTCTCTCTCTGCCTCTCTCTGCCTCTCTCTGCCTCTCTCTGCCTCTCTCTGCCTCTCTCTGCCTCTCTCTGCCTCTCTCTCTCTCTCTCTCTCTCTCTCTCTCTCTCTCTCTCTCTCTCTCTCTCTCCGCCTCTCTCTCTCTCTCTCTCTCTGCCTCTCTCTCTCTCTCTCTCTCTCTCTCTCTCTCTCTATCTCTATCTCTATCTCTATCTCTATCTCTCTCGTTCGTGGAATTTCCGAACGGAAGTGACTAACTGACGATTTCATCAGACTTGCATCGTGCTTTGTTGCCAATGCGTTTTTCTTCGTGACCATTTGCGTCCATCCACTTACCCGTACTTACATATACGCGCATATGCAAACGCAACATATACACATGCCACATACACTTCCGGGATTTAGAAACGTCGCTTGAAACAGCGATAAACAAATTAAAAGTAACTACGCAACTCATGTTGGGGAATAACATGTGTTATCGCGAAACAGACTGTTCGTATCCGATCTCCGTTGCCTGATTATGCCGATTATACAATGAGCGGCTTCTCTTTACTCGTAGCTCTTTGCTCTTTGCTCGCGACTCGTACGTCTTGTGATGAATAATCGTTGTTAAAAATATATCTCTTTGTTGATCTTATTATCGACGCCATTCGCGTTACGTCACTTTTCATCAATGAAAAAAATTATATAAATATTATCATTATTTTGATTACTCTCGCTCTGAGACAGAATCAAGAGCGAACATACTTCATTCCGTTGCAATTTTTATTTTGCACGGATAAACGATAAAACGCAAGTGTTGATAATTTTCCAAATTGATAATTTATATTTCTCGTTAACACGTTTAACGCCACGTCATTTATATTCTGAATATCTCCTTATAGACTTATTTATTTAAAATAATTTAGGGCTCAATTGATATATAATCAAAATAATTTACTAAAGCACGTACTAAAAGCTTCTTTATGTACGGATTTTGTTAATTGAGGACGAGTTCAGGGTTATATATCTATTGCGCAAATGAATTATGAAATAATTATGTCGTTCGAGATATTCTGATTTATTACAGACTAAATGTCTAAACTAGATAGAGGAATGAATCATCTGTGCAAGATAATATGATTTAAAGGAGATCAATTACGACTAATCATGTCATCACCTTGAGCAGGACGGTCGATTGAATATTCGATTATATTGATAATATATCGATTGAATATTTGCCTCAGTTTCAATAAGTTTTCCATCACGAAAGGATGTATACTTTATCGGCACTGATAATGACGCGCTGCGGACGGAAACGCGGCGACGTTTAGTCAAGCAATTAGAAACATCTGTGCTTATGTAAGAAAATAATAACATTATTCTGCCGCTAATTCCGCTAGTACAGCGAACCGACCAATCTCGCGTTAATTATTAGCTATTTGCATATATTTTAATGTTTCTCACACATCATAAAATAGTTAAAAAGTCAATATATGCACGGCCAGACATCACAATATCAAAAGGAAAATCTCATGACTTTTGTCTTTTAATTCATCGCGAAGTAGCTCTGTCTTTATGCTTTTCTCTTTCGTTTATGCACCGAAATGCGTTACACAAGAAATTAAATTATATTGATACAATTAATTAAGAGAGAATGTAAGATATGTTTATAATATGGCTTGCTCGGCGTTCAACTTACCGTTATGAAATATTACACGGGCCAGTCGAAGCCAAACTGCAGATGTTAATGCGTAAATTTACCACTAATTTCTGATGAGAAAAAGAGGAAAGAAAGAAGATGGAATTTGCCTTAAAAATTAACGAGGAAAGGATCGAAAAGCGATGGAGTCAGACTGAAGAATTTTGATGATAGGAATCGCATACGCTCATCTTAACTTTAATCTCACATTGATCCTCCGAAATGACCATAAATTTACGCATTTAACATCCGCGGTCTGGTTCCAATTAGTTCCAATTAGTTCTTTCATTTAACAACAAAATTGCAAGTTATACTGTATACAGTTTACATAATAAATTTAAGAGAAATATATGCAGAAGACTAAATAAAAAATAAATAATTAATGAAATTAGTAATGAAATTTGAACAAAGTATATGATGCATAAAATGGTACGCAATATGTATACATTGCACAATTAAATTTAAAAAGATTAGGACACGAAATAAAAATAAATAATGAAACTTAGATAAAGTAATGTATATTACACACAAGATTGTACAACATGCAATTCGCATTGTATAAATAAATTTAGGATATATCGGTATAAGACACTAGATGCGGGAAAAAATAACGAGACTAAAGTGAAACATATATTATATACAAAAATATATCATGCAATCTGCAAAATATAAAAAAATCTAAGAGAAACAAATGTAGACAGAGAATGCTAAAGTGCCTTCGTAAATTGTCGTTACTTGAGATTTGTCTCAAATAAGATGCACAAATTTGAATTTAGAGTCAGACTTAAATTTTTCGGTGATTTTTCGAAATGAAAGTATAATGTCATAAGTTCTATCTGAGAAACTCAGGTCTAACTTTAATTTCAAATCTTGGTGTCTCACAGAATATAAGTTTCAAGTAACAGATATTAACACGGATTTGAGCGTGGAAAGAAATGATGAAATTTAGATAAAGCAACCTATATTACATGTAACATGATGCATCTCATGTAATTCGGAACACACAATAATATAATTTATACATACATTATAATATTATAATAATTCGTATTCGTAATTTCTATAAAAATAACATGATTGTACAGAATTGCGTTGTTTTGCTTGATCAATAGGAAATTTTACGCTGGGAAATTTGAAGATCCGCTGTATGCTGATGAGCCAAGTCCAGGCCGTTAGCACTAATATCGAGTGTGGTGTGATTTTGCTCACAAAGTCGATTACAATGGCGGGGATTAGCATGACAAAACAGCGGCGTAATTTCGCGGTGATTGACGGCGAGACGATTGGATTTCAGGCTCGACTTCTTACGAGCCGCGCGTTGCATGAGGCGTTTCTTCATTTCCGCGAAGCTAATTAAGAATAGCTGAGAGCTGAGATACACGCGAATATCATTAAATTGTCTTATTAGAATAGAAAATTATACGCGGCTTTTCCAGTCGTTGCATGAAAAAGCATTTTGCAATCATTTCCTTTCGCACTAATTTGTCGCCGATAATTCAGCCGCTCTAACGACGAAAATGCGTCCATTTTTTGTAAAATGATGCGCGCTTATGCTATTTCTGAGTCGGAAGCTCGTACAAAAATACATTAAAGCTATATGTGAAATATAAATAGAATATAATCGCAGGATATAAGAAGAAAATCTTATAACAATAAATATCGAAAGCTATTGGAATGGTATTACTATTAGAAACAAAAACGAAATCGATGAAAATTACCAACTGATTGATTCGCGTTACTTTATTTTTCAAATAAAAGATAATAATAGTAATCAAAAAGCGGGTAAGTCCACCTCAGATCTTAGGACTATGTAGATCTCATCGATCCATTATAATAAAAATAAAAATAATAGTAATTATAGCAGAAGCATTAAAAATAAAAATTATTGGTCGCAAAAATAAAAAGAAGAATAAACGATAATATAGCGTTCACTAATCTTCAGCGGGAAAATATTTTCCATATGGAACAGCAGGATATAAAGAAAAGATACTTACACATCCCATTGTTCTACTGATAATCTCATTGCGCAAACTGAGGTATGTTAATTAGCGAACAGTCACGAATAACGATGAAACACAAACGGTCGCGTTGGCGCATCGCGTGCGCTGTCGGTGTCTTCGCCGAGACAATTTTCTGAGGTGCATTTCTATCTATAGCGCACTCTAATCTTTCATCGGTTATCGAGCATGACATTGGATCACGGACGATTGCGGCAATCGTAACAAACTTCGTTGCCGGGGAGCAAGAGAGAGAAAAGAAAAACGAAAAATAAGAGAGAAAGCATGACAGCTACGCGCCTGCTCTTCGTGCAGTCGCAAGAGGTAAGAGAAAGAGCGCTTTGAAAATATAAAATTATAAATAGAATCCCCCTGCGAATTCCACCGCGAATTACAAATCGTCCAAAACACTTTCCCCGCGTGCGACCCCCGAAGAGGCAATCCCCGATTTATTTCGAACTTTGCGCCCAACGGTTACGTGAATGACGATCAACAGATTGATCCTTATGAGCTTCAGTCGAGGGTTGACACGATTTCTTGCCGACGCGATCACCTTCCCGTAATCCCCGTAAACGATCCGATCGCCAGAATCATTGACGCGTTTCAAATCGTTGTCTGTCAGCTCAGTTGCTTAAACGACAACAGCAGCAGCAGCGCAGCGATACGCCAGTAGCAACGACGGCGACGACCGCGATGGTACTGATGGTGGTGGTAGTTAGGTTTATGGTGGCGGGAGAGACGGTTGATGGTGATGATGACGTTAATGCTGGGACCAGTGCTGGTGCCCGAGGCCCTCCGTGCTCTCGTCGTTGTCGTCGTCTTTTCCGTCGTCGTTTCTCGCTAAAAATACCGCTAATTGTCCAACTGGAATCTCATGAACCGCGCGGTCGTCGCGCGAAGCGCTCGTCCGTCTCGTATCGCCGGCGAAATCGATTGTTATCGCGAGTGAATGTGTTCCTCAAGTGTCCGTGAGCAATTCACCTCGTCGTTCGTCTATTGACAACGTCGGTAATTGGTCATAGACATAGAGCAAAGTCGCGCACAAGTGTGTGTATGTGTGTACGTGCGCATGCATGCGCGTCGTGCGTGACACTGCGGTGTGACGCCAAGTGATTTGCCAACACGGTATGTTACTTTTTTCTATTTCCGTTCTGTTACTTTTTGTAAAAAAATTTCAACAATATCATGATGAATCCGTTTTTTATAATTTGCTAAATGTCAAGCTTTAAATTATATTTCGACTGTCACGAGTAAGCTTCCCAGATACGAAAACTGAAAAAAGGTGAACTGACTTCCAAAACAGCTGGAAAGTGTAGCTTGCAAAAGTATATTTTTTGAAGATTATATCAATAGATAAGAAAATATTTAATAATTTAGACATTTTTAATATTATCTGGACATTAGCTATGAATATTGATAGTAAACTCTGGGCTGTCTAGCTATGAAATTGGCAACCTTGCTGTTGAACTAATTAATTTATTATTACAGCCACGATATTTGGCTTTTTAATTTTAGATAAAATTATTAATCACAAAGAATTCATTAAGAATTCCTCATATGTTTAGAAATTTTGCAGAAATTACTAATACATTGTTAGAAAACCTTCCAAACACAACACAGGAGACACACATATATCATACACATATATGTTATAAAACCATGTTAATTTTACACTATTGATAAAGAGATACAACCGAATGGAATGATTTAGATCAGGAGCAAAATGGTGATTAATAACACGACTCTGTTAGATCTCTTTTTTTGTTTATATCCCGAGTCGAAGGCTAGAAATTCTATTAGACTTAAAATCTCCATAATTTATTCCCTTGCAAACACGTGCGTGTCGACGATTACTCTGGATACTCGTTGTTATGTCACTAATTATTATGCAACTAGCGTAGCTTAGCAGACATCTTCGTAATCAAACTGCGCAGTACTTATCCATCATTAATCAAGTGTCTACAACGTCTAGAATAAAAGTCTCGTTCGAGTCGTGCATATCGTCTGACTTATTTACATCAGAATGATTCACGGTGATATATTTTAAAGAGATTCTATTATTTATAATATCCGTCGTTAAAATTATATTCCTGTGTAATATAAATTTAATGTATTTAATGTTCATAGAGCGTTTATTATTTTCTTATAAAATATATACGTGATATATTGATATATTAATGTTATAATATTTATTATAAATTAAATATTACAATATAATATAATATTGCTATATATGTTGCATTATATACAAGAGATATTCTAAATTTCGCGATTCTAATTTTTTCTTTTCTCTAATTTCTCTGAATAATTAGCAGATTTTTTCAGCAGAAATGTCAGAAAGGATCATTATTAATGGAAATTTTTCACTTCCCAAAATATTTTTAGTAACTAATCTCTAAATTAAACATTTGTAATAATATTTCGTTAAATAAACTCCCCTTGCAATTTAGTTAATTTAATTTGCAAAAATTTAATTCGCGGGAAGTTTTATTTCTATCGTTTCGATGTTTCGAAACTTATTAAAACTTATTGATACTTTGGCGTCTGCGTAGAAGATAAGTCAACTCTAAATCGTTGAGAAAACCTCTCGATAAAATTAAAATCGCAAGTTTTACGACAATCTATGTATTTATATCTCCGGAGAAAAGAAAAGAAATCAAATAATAATAAGGACCGGAACGACTGATAATAAATTAATTTGTTGTCTTTCATTGGTGCTTCCTCTATCGAGATTTCGTCGTGCGTTCTTAATTTCCTCATTTTCTCCTATTCCCTTGAATGAAATGACGTTTTACTACTCCAGGCGATGTTCGCACAACGAATTTCGCACGCCGGCGTTGATTCATACATGCTCGCGCGCTCGCGCACTTTCAGATGTTCCCCGCGGAATTTGCGGAGGCGTTTACACCCGCTGCTTCGTCGTTTCACCTGCCTTGAACTGCGGCCGACTGACTAAGGGATTTTCTCCTCGCTCGTATTCAGAGAACAGGAAGTACGGTCGGCGCCTCGGCGGAATGCGCCTTCCGTGCCACGAATCTGCGACCTCTTGAATATCCATAGCCGAATTTGCGAATGTTTAAGTTCTCGGGAGCTCCGAAAGTATAATCTTCGCCCGACGATTCATAATATAAAGGAAGAGAAAAAGAGACGAAGAGAAATCACAAGAGGAAGAAAGAAAGAGAGGGAGTAGGGACGAGAATTTCATATTTTATTATCCTTGCATATTGTTACACTCATTGTCAGAGAAAGAGCCGTTTCTTCTCCTCTGACCTCACCCCCTCCTTTTTCCTTTGCATTACCGTTCATGGTTCTCACATTCAACGACACTCGGATGTACGCGTGAGAGAAAAATAGGCGGTCCCGAGGAAACGAAAAACAATACCGTAATCGCTTACCTCGTTCGGGCTTGAACTTACCATATAATCGCAGCGTGAATGATTATTATTATGTACGAAGAGTCGTACACTTGCCTCGCGGTGTCTAGTTTCATTAACGGTTATCGTCACCGTGGGTTCTTCTCTTTCCTGCAAATTGACAGGAGGCGACGCGAGAGGTCGTTGAAGCGGTCGGGAGGTCGCTCAGAATTCGTCGTTCACGTTCCAATGTTCGAGATTGATTTTTGGCGAAAGAACAACCGAAGAACGCAACGACATGTCTAACATCCTTTTCTACCAATGTCGATCCGTCTGAAAGAATTCAAGCCTTCGTCTCAATAGACTTTAAACTCTAGTCCAAAGGTTTAATCGATATTGTGTAGAAACAGACACAAGAGCGACGTTCTTTAGGCGCTATGCACCGCGCGAATACATCACCTTGTCCGTTGCCACCTGTTGCCACCTGTTGCCGCGCGGTGCAATCAATTGCGATGTGAGATCTCTTCGTCAGTTGATAGGCTCACTCGCTGACTTTAACGTAGAATTCTTTTGCTGCTTCGATATATTGAAATAGTGAAGACTAAGAGTGAAGTTGTATTTACTGCATCCGTCTAGAGAGCGGCAGATAGAAGACCATTGATCCGCCAAATTCCTTTTTTTCTAATAAGAATTGTTAAGATGTGGTGGGGTGACGAATACTGTGAATGTTTCAATGGAAAACCACTGAAGAATATGCCGACGGAAGATTAACGGACTCTTATCTGCTACCGTATGGGCTGGCAGTGTTACTTAACATGCTTCACATGCATGCCAGCTTAACATGCCAGAATAAAATTCCTCATTCATTCTCCCGATAGTCTCAAAGGTGTAGATTTCCAGTTGCATTTCTTTAACACGTTGGATACTATGGCAGTCATCAGTGATCGGCATATTACGAAACTACTTCGTCTCATTAAATTACATGTAAAGTATAATTATGTGTATCTAAAAAAATATGATATTTTAGTAGGATTTAAATTTCGACTTTGATATTCACCAATTTATTTTATCGTCTCTTTGTTAGTTGTATGCAATTGGTTATGTTTTATACGTAAATTAGTGAAACACGATACATTAAAGTGTCGGTCACTGCTGACCCCCATGGCAATCAACTCTATCAAAGGCTGACGAGTAAACGAGGAGCGAATTCTAACACGAGACCTCGAATACCTCCGTCGACGTGATTCTCTAGACGAGTTCGTTGCTGCGAAACATTAACGTGAACTCGGTGAACACGCATGTAGTCGTCGGTCCCGTTTCTCTGTCGATTGGTGTCGATTGAAATTGCCTCACTTGCGAAATCGTTTGCACGAGTTTCCACAATGACGTCAGACAGTTCAAAGGACCGCTCCTCTTGTCAGTAATGCGCGTTTCATCGTCTCACGAACGTTCTCACGAACTCTCGCTGCGGTGTTTGCGTTCATAAACTCATCGTAGGAAACAGAACCAGGATGTGCAGCCTTTGTTGCGTAATAATGCGCGTAATAAATTAAAATGCGTATAATTGCTTACAGTTATCTCCTCGCGAAGATCTTTCGTCTCCACCTTCGCCTTCACCTTCGCTTCCGACGTTTAAGCAGTCGAATTTGAGTAGGAATATTGAGTAGAAATTGAGAAATTGAATACTGAATATTGAGAAATAGAATATTGAGGATTGCAGATTATACAGGGTGTCCAAAAAATCTCAGACCAATAAAATATCTCGAAAACCAAGCATTTTAGAAAATAATGTTTCGGAAAGTTATATGGTTTCAAAGGGGACATAAAGCAACTATATCATTTTGTTTACAGATGGCGGCACTTTCAAGATACTCACTAATCATTACTTTCCTTAAATGGAAACCCCAATTTTTTATTATATCATCTTTTTCTACCAATTAATATGAATAACTTATGTCTCGAACATTCTTTTATTTGCCTAATACTTTTTGAGATATTTAAGGAAAACTTGGTCATTTTTTCAATATTTAACTTACGATATCTCGCTAACTATTTGTCGGAAGAAAAAGTGGTACTAGATTTTTTTATTTTATTTAGTCCCAAAAATATATTGTTACAATAGCTCCCTGACTTTTATTAATTTATCGACTTTTGGATATTTCAAGATCATCAAATTAACGAAAGTCAGGGCGCTATTGTAACAATATATTCTTGAGACCAAATGGAGTAAAGTAGTCTAGTATCACTTTTCCTTCCGACAAATAGTTAATCTCAATCTAAAGTTGTTTCGTTCCGGCGCTGGTCAGGTTTCCATCTTTAATTTGTACTTCTTAAAATTTGTAATATTTATACCGGGAGAAATAAATATCTGCAATATATAGAATATTTATTCGGTATTAACGACATCTTTTTTAGATATTTATTTTTAAGTATATTTTTTATACGAATTTAACTCACTTGCAAAAGATAAATATATCTATCTATTTGACTTAATTATTACAAAAACAAATATATTTGCGCTCAATTACGGTTAAATTGAATAACAAAAAAGAAATCATATATTTTTGACATATTTTATTACATTTGACACATAAAACTGTTTACTGACGTGAGCATATTTTTCAAATCTTTTAATAATATAAATGACACTAACAATGACAAGAACTCGAAATTGAAAATCTTGACAGACGATCTTTTAATCTTTTATGTTTCAAATATTGTAGAAACATTTTTTATAAAAAAGTTTCAAATTTATTTAATCAAAATTTCTTATGAATTCAGAATAGCTTATAAAACTCACTCTCAACTCTTTTGGATTTTGAAGCAATTGTGTACACAACTTAGTGGCATTTAGTTTATATTTAGATTTGAAGGCCAAAGGTCGCGCTACTAAAGAATTCTATAAGAAATTTATCTTGTAGCGCCCTGCAAGAGCAGTGCAAGGGTTAAGATCCCGAAAGAGTAATTTATTACGCGCGCTTTTCCTTGAGATAAGAATCTTCCGAGTTTCAATATGAAACTGCCTCTCGTCATACAAGTAAAAAGCATGACAGATAACATAGTCGCGTCGCGACTTCAGGAACGCGGATATGTTGGACTTCCGATCTGTAATCTGTAGGCTGGCGTCAGTGTGGCGCTCCCGCAGTAAATATCAATAGCGAAAATCTCACTCTATGATTAGTGGCTTTCATTGCAAGAATCTCATTAAATGCTACGCTACTGCGAACTCTTCCCTGCTAATAGATGATTCTCAGTCGGACGGTAACTGGTTAAATTTTTTTCTACTGCGCAAACAAGCATACGCACAATCGATTGTTTTGAGTTGATTATGATCGCATTGGATTTCCCATTTTGTCTATTATCGTCAGACAACAGCATTCTTGTTTAGTGTTGTTCGTTCATTACGTTCGTCACATATGTGTGTGTGAAATAGTAGTTTCTTTACTAGAAGCTAGAGATGTGCGAATCAAGAATTTTTATGTCGAATCGAATCGAATCGAATCTCATTTTTTAAATTCGAATTCGAATCGAATCGAATGAAATCGAATTGAATCATTAAAAAATTTATTAATTAAATTTATAATAACATAACTATTAAATATGCAAATAATAATGGAAGATTTTAATATGAAAGGGAATATTGATATTGTAATATCATCTTAAAGTAAAATACATATTTAAATATTTAAAGTAATTTATAATTAAGTTGTTAATTATAAGTTAAGTTAATTACAAGAGTTCAAACATACAGGCCCAGATGGCCCGTTTTATAGCTGATGCACGCAAACGATAATGTATTTGATTCCTATTCGAATTATCCGGATTCGTATCATAGAGATTCGGATTTGAATCGAATCGAATTACATTAGATTCGATTCGATTCGATTCGAATTCGAATAGTTCGCACATCTCTACTAGAAGCCTAAAATTTTTTTCATGCTAACACTCTTTATCGTATTTGCATCAGAAGCGAATGTATTCATTTCATTCATTTCGTATAGCTATTATAACGAAAGTAGAAACGTTCACATGCAGTCGAGATTAGACCGAATTACAAAAATCTGTTTTTGCTATGTTTTGTTACATTTGACGCTAGTTTAAAAAAGAGAAATTAAATAATATGAATCTTGATAATCACAGTCGATGAAAGGAAAATAAGATTCAGCACAATTTTCAAATCTCTTGATGACGCAAACGGTTTAACTTTACGTCGGTGCACAGAAAAAATATTTTACTCTTGAAGAAAACCGATTATTCAATTTATCTTCTTTCTTTCAAGTAATGATTATCTTCAACAAAGAATATTTTCTTAATAATAGTCTCTTCTTAAATATACTTATCATAAATTTTAGAAAAACTCAACAGATAAATTTGTTCTCTTTTAAAAAATATCATAAAATTTATACTCTCTCGTAGAAAAAAGAAAGCAGATTGAATTTTTGTTTTAATTTAATATTTTTCTTTAAAGTCCTAAACTCACTAATATTTAAAATGCAATTTTGAATAAATTTGACGCTTATGACAAACTTGTGATAGATTTGCAGATATATAAACCAATGAAATTACTCGAAACAAGTAACATTTGTTTGCGATACAATGAGTACTTTTTTTAAACGTGGGATATGCAGGTACTCGTGTTCGCGCGCGCGCTCGTCGTGTAATGTTGCAAATGATGTAAATATCGCAAATATTATTTGACATGCTAATGAAACAATTGTGCGGCATAGCAGAATTCATGCCTTCTCATGGAATTTATTAGCCCTTCTTCCGCCATGATTTTTGTAATGAGAGGGAATCACGTAAATACTTCACGCGTCATGACTTATTCACGAATTATTCCCGTTTGTTTCGTTTTCCCATTGCGCCTCCTCCGTGATGCTGAGAGAAACAGAGATCGAGTTCGCCTTCGGGTTTGTTATCTTCAAGAAGGTCGCGGCCTTGATAACTCCCACGGCATAATTTCGCGACTTCCTTGTAGATTAACAAACTCGCCGTCGGCTTATGCGTCCTTAAATTTTCTTGCGAAACTGCAATCGCGCGGCGGAACTGCCCTGAGAAATGCTGAGAGAGAGAAAGAAAGAGAAAATACATTAAAAAGATAATTATACGTAATAATTATATAATGTAATCGCGCACATTTAATCGCGCTGATTTTCTTTTCCGTTGCAGATACATCGTTTGTGAAGCGGGTGTAACTCACGAAAAGTGTATGTGCATATGTGTTCTATTTCTGCCTTCCTCTTCAATAAAGTGCGGTATAATTTGTTAATTAAGTTTCGCCTGAGAGTGCCGCGTAATGTGATACGTGTTGTGACTTATATGCGAGAGGAAGATGACGTCTTTGGTGCAGAGGGACTCTACCGATGGCGGGGCGCAGAAGAAGAGGGAATCTATCAGCAGCAACGCATCCAGTTACTTATTGGTGAGTGGTGAGGAATAAGTTAGTAAAGTTAGTTCTACCGATATATAAGTCGCAAGATTAACGTGACGATTCGTATATCCCGAGATAAAAATTTCAAATTCAAACGCGAAGTTTTCAGCCTGATCGGTAAACAACTTGCACTTACGAGTTACTTCTTCCTCATTAACAATTTGGCAACGGTGTTATTATTTTTTTTATTAGTACGATAACACATAACAAGTAACGATAACATAAAATTACATTTTTGGGGTAAAAGTAACGAATATCATCGTTATTTTTATCGTACATGTGAAATAGGTGCGCACGCTGGAAATTGCAGCGAATTGTAAAATTGAGTGTCTTAAAAATTTGGGAAATTAGGAGAGCAAAGGGAAAAGTTAGAAAAATAACGGAAATTGTAACGACGCTTTTTGACGATAACGAGATATCTTTCAAAATAATAATCGTAACAAGTTACTTCTCTCAATGGATGACGAGTAAGAGATATCGAGTTACTTTGGAGTTAACTTTCCTCATTTCACAATTTTTTTTATATAACTTTCTTTCTCATTTATAAAATTATGTATTTTATTTCATATTTATCTCCCATATAAGTTAATTCTTTCAATTATCCTCGTAAACAATTAATAAAATGTATGACTTGAAGTATTAAGGGAAAATTAAAGAAATAAAAACTCATTGCAAATACAATAGCACAATTTCAAGGGAAAATCGAAATTGACTGAATAAAGAGCAAAGAGAAAAGGCTAATCGAGAGGGAGAGAGAGAAGGAACACTCGTCACTTTTCTCAAGACACTCTGTAGGGCTGGCGATTCGCACGTATCACGAAGCGAATATCCGCGGACGAGAGGTTCTCTAGGCCGCGAATGAAGCCTATCCTTTGCCGTACGAGAAAAGGAAATTGCGTGACGCACGAGAGAAACTGACGCCATTTGTCACGGGGGAAAATTTTCGACGGGCGCGCGAAAAACTCCCATCCTCTTCCTCTTCTACGTATTTATTACCGGCGTCTTCGCTTTGATTACCCGCACTTGCTTGCGTGCGAGCATGCATGCGTTATTTCTACATATATATATATATATATATATCTTTTTTATCTCCCTACGCATCCGCACGAGTTGAGAATTCAGATCGTTCTCTCATCCTCAGTCGAAAGAGGAAAAGAAAAATTGCGTGACACCGCAATTTTTTGCCAGAGGGATGAAGATAAAAAGCGGGGAATCGAAAGTACGGGACCGTCGAAGTGAGGCTCCACGAAGGACGAATACATTTGCGAACGATTGCGCAGACTGTTTTAAATTCCCTGCGAGGCGACATCGAAGCGAGGCATTCTCAGATACATGTTGTAGATTGATATAAAAAAATAAAGTATAATCTCCTCATAAAAGAATTCGAAAGGGTGATACAGACATTTCAATCTTCCGAGTGATATATAAATCGTCAACATATAGGAAAATTTATCTTGCAAATCGTGGAAATGTACAGCTTAGTGTTTTGTTTGGTGACTTATTATTAGGGCGGTCATACGATTAAAAAACAAAAGCAACGTATGTTCAAAATGTTCTTTAGAAAGCTCCATTTTTAAGATTAACGCGATTTTTACTGCGTTTATTGTTAATAAATGATTAAATATCATGGATTAATATTAATACTTTGACAGCCGCATTTTTCACAAAAAATTTGCTTTTGCCGCCGGCATATAATGACGAAAACTACTGGCTACTGTTGGCACTTTTTGTAAACTTTGTTACAAATTGTTGAAGGCATGCTGTTGACATGTTGTTGCAAATTCGGACATAATTAGTATTTAGTAAATAAAAAGGCGTAATTATTTCAGTAATAGATTTGTCATCATTCTGACTATAATCTCACTTCCATTGTCTCATTCTTCATCACTGTTGTCTGATATCTGATCGCTAACATTTAATAGGTTATCAGCATACACTTCGTCGTCTCTTATAGAAAAAAACACTCAAATATTGAGTATCTACATTTAATTGTTCGAATTCACTCTCAAATATGGGTATATACATTTAAATTTGAGTGTATATAGACTCAAATAATAGTCGTTAAAGTGCTAAAGCATTAAGAAACGATAGCTGTGATTGAAGTGTCTTCGACAAAATTGATATTAGTGTTATCTCTTGCAAAATCTTCAAAACTAAATCATACTCCTAATAGTATCTACGAGGATACCTTGTAGAATAAGTGTTTTAAAGAGAAAGAGAGAGAGAGAGAGAGAAAAAGAGGGAGATACATTAGTTTTATACCAAACTTTATTAACTTATTTAAAAATATATTAAGAGATTTTCTTTTTATACATGCTGTAGATTGGTAATGAAAAAATAAAATATAATCTAATCAAAAGAATTTGAAAGGGCAATGCAGGCACTTCAATCTTTCAATTATCTCAAGTGGTATATAAATCGTAAATATATAGAAAAATTTTCTTGCAAATCATCTTGCAAATCGTGGAAATGTATAGTTTGGCATCTTGTTTGGTGACTTGTTATTAGGACAGACATGCGTTGTCTCGAAAAATAAAAATCTCGAAGTTCGGAAAGTAGGATAATTTACCGGAAAGTTAATTCCGAAATCTGAAACAACTCTCCAAAATACAATTTTTTTTCCTGAAATATTGAGCACGCAAAATATTATTTTAGGAAGTTACACCAAAATTAGTACAAGACGAAGTATCGAAAAATATAACTAGCTCAAGTTAGCTAATAATACTAACAATAATAATAACAACAATGAATAAAAATAATAATTTTTTGCTACATTGTTGCCTTATATTAATTTTATCATTGTAATTTCTCGAGAGACGACTGCATGTTTCCAATATCTCGATGAAGTTGTATTTCAGAAAATTACTTCGATATTCGGATATCGGGATTTTTCGGGAGATTGTCCTGCATTCCAAATTCCGACAGATTTTCTTTTTCCTTTTGGAGTGATATATATCCGCCGTTATTCGTGCGATTGCCCCGTCTGTCTCGTTTGACGGTTAATAACCTTTCTTTGACGGCGCTACGGTTCGCGTAGCAGACAAAATCTATCATTCTTCACGTTTCTCGCAACGTTCAGGATTACTTAAACATCGGACAGTCAATATAGAGGGAATATTACAAACGTCGACGGGGGATTGTATGAAAAGTAAAGCGCGCGAGTGCGCGCTAGAGTAGCCCGGGGACGGAAAGTGAAGTATCATCGAGATTCGTCGAGGAGAGGAGCGAAGAGAAGGGGCGGCAGGACGAAGGGGAAAGCAGAAGGGAGGACTCGACGAAATACGAAGTCGGCGAAATCCCGTTTAATGCAAATTTCGTCATGCACACCGGGACGAGATATATCGTGCCTTTGTAGAATTAATGTTCGCAATGTTTCCTTTTCATTTCCGGCTTGTCGTGGAGGCCGCGAAAGAAGGAGCGCGCGCGCGCGAGAGGGAGAGAGAGAGAAAGAGCGGACAATTGCGGAGATGGTTTTCAAAATGTGATGGATCGCTCGGACGGACTGTATACCAGAGGGATCGGCCTCGTGAAAATCGATCTTCCATGTCGACGAATTTCGCTCGTAAATAACGCGAGTAATCCGAGCCTTCGCGTCTCGACGAGACACCTACGTTTTCAATAACGCGGCAGCATGTAATTTTTTTAGTACTCTGTGTATGTGTACAATTACGTTTTACTTTTTAATTTATTACACGATTGGTCCACAGGAATAATTCATTTGCCGCAGTAGTTTATGGTAGTTATTTACAGTAGTAATAATTTATATGTACTAATAATACAAGAATATCGCGATGAGAACATCACGACGCTACCAATAGCTAATCTGGAATTTTTACATCTCAATTACACTTTGAATTATAAAATATCATTCTTGTCTACAATGTCACTAAAAAGATTTTAATCACGACCATTCCGATTAAGATGAAAATTGGTGCAGTCGATCCGGAATTTGAACGTTTTTTTATGCATTTGGTATATTTTTTCCCCTATAAATTACTCCTAACTTATTTACAATAGTGATAAATTGTAAATTACTATTGCGAATCGCTACTTCCAAATAGCTACTACAAATTATTACTGTAAATAAATTACGTAAGAGACTGAAAGGTAAAAAGCAACTAGTAGTTCAAAAAGAAAAAAGTAAAATATGCTGAGAATATTCTAGCAAGGAGATATCTCATTGCATATTCGATTTAAATAAAGATATTTCGTGAATTATTTGCAAGCTTTTATTTCACGTTCGAGAGGAATGTTCACGTTCTGTTTCACTGAGTGACGTTGAACCATTTCATACATTTAAATCCAAGAGAGATGAGCGATAAAAGCGCTTGCAATATCGGCGAGCAAATGAATGCTCAAATTATAGATGTAGGATCCTGTCACAAATTAGAGACAATCCGAGGCGGCGGGCTTTGTGTTTCACGCACGGTCACCCGCATGTGTTAAATAGGTGGGGGACGTGTAGGTCACTACACGAAACTACTCGTGAATATTCAGCGGAGCATTAACTACTCGCGCTACGCAGCTCACAGGAGGATGAAGACCACCATCTGTTCTTATCCGCGCTCTGAGTTAAAGCATTTTTAAGCTGCAGGAACAGGGTAACCCCTAATATATGCGAAGGATTACTGCATGTATAGTGTATAACATTAATTATATAATAAAATAATTGTATTAAACAATATGAAAACGCGCGTTGTGTTAAATAATAATAATAATAATAATAATAATAATAATAATAATAATTCAGAAATATATTTGTATAGTATGAAACAATGTCGGAAAAATTTTTTAATTCTTAAGAATTGCAAGAACGCTTATGAAGGATATTTCTTGTTAAAGCAATTTATTTAAAATTTTAGTTCAAAGTTGGGGAGCATATGAATGTTTCCTGAAAAGTTTCGCTCGTCTTACATAATAATTTAATAATAATATTAAGCGCGATAGAGAAGAGAGAATAAAAATGCAAATGAAAGTACAGAGGTTCGTGC